AGTTACTCTAGACCTTTGTGACTGCCTTTTCTGTAACTTGTCAATCTCTACCAGATCCCTTTTGATGTGTTGTAGGCAACCATTTGTATAACTTTGTTGTGAACAAATGATACAAGATCCCTTCTGATGTATTGTAGGCAAACATTTGTAACTATTGTATGCAAGGCTGTTAAAGTTGGCAATTTCCACAACACCTTTACTTTCCCTGATTCCATTTTGTAGTTCAACTTAATAAACAGTGGTCAGGGAGATGAAAGCACTGACATCTAGTACTAATGTTATGGGGCCTAATGGGCTCCAATAAGAAGAAATGGTTGCAGTCTTATTTCTGGATGAAAAGCAGGGTATGAGAAGCCAAGGAGCTGGGGACTGAGCATCATGCACTATTGTCCTAGAAGCAATACATATCTTAATGTTGCATTCTGGGATGCCTGCAGAGCATAAATATTTCCTAGCAAAAATTTACAGCTACTAATAACCACTGATATCTTTGTAGTTTATGGATTTTTGTAATCCCCTTTAAAAGTCTATTATATAATGAATTCTATAACATAACTTTTTTCTGTTTGAAGAAGTTCAAAAATGAGAGAGCAATTTCTTCAAGGCAATGACTTGAATGAGGGTCTGAGACTAAGCCAGCTCTTGCATTAGAAGACCAGCATTGCCAATTTTTAACTTGAAACATTTCATCCAACTATTTACCTAGAAATCCATAGGAAAATATATTTTGTGTTATGTATAGTATAAGACATGTTACTTGCGGCAATCATATATGAATCTAGAGGAATGAGGTTCCTCATAACACCTCCTCACAACAGACATCCTACAGCGTGAGAAGTTGCTTTCTGAAAATCTATCAGAAGACATGCATTGCTTCTAAGTCAGTAGTGCATGATACTCAGTCCTCAACTCTGTGGCTTATGATGCAGAAATAACAATACATTTTCTTCTTACTGAAGGTGAATAGGGCCCATAACATTAGTACTAGGGACCAGCTATCAGATCCCTGACCACTGTTTATTATGTTGAGCTACAGAACGGAATCTGCACAGAAACAGCCTGAGAAGTCACCAACACACTGATGCATACTTCCAACAGAGACCAGATCACTTTCACTTATGTGAAGAGGTAAGAATCCTACTATGGTTAGGTTCTAATTACAGATTAGAAAAGAGCATAATCAGAGAAACTGCCATCTGTTTAATCACAATTTACAGCATGCACATAATTTACAGTGATAAATAAATGATAGGAAACTTTCACGTTTTTGCTACAGAATTGGTCCTCTGTAATGCAGTGATGAAACAAAATTAAAATAGGTCCAAGCTATGTATTACATTCAAGGCTCACTATTGAGGTTTTACATTCATTCTATAGATACACACTTTAAAGCTTGGAATGTTATTTATGACCTTGGAATAAACAATATGTTTGTTGCAAATTTTAAAGAACCACGTTACATGGGAAAATGGACTAAATGACCAATATATCATTAAACTGAGATATCTGTCTTCTCAAATATTCCAAAGTAAGAATTGACACATTATTATGTTTCCTGGGGAATAACAGATGCCAATTGCATCGTTTAATCACAAAAGAACTGATATCAGTAAAACAGCTGCTGACCTAATACCCCAAGATTAGGTAAACAGTTTATAAAAATTCACAATTGTAACCAACAGTGTTTCCAAAAAGGACGGAAGGAAGAAAACAAACGAAAGCAATTAATACTGGTATTCTGCAGAAGAATAAAGATAGTACTAGGTGAAGGAGTTGGCAATACTGTACAATATAGATATATATTTTACAGTGACAATGATTCCACTGCCCACCTGCCAGTAATTCTGCTGTACTGAAATATATTCAAGTAGGTGCAGCATTTTTGAACGATGCTTCCATTTTACATTTTCTTCGCTCTAGAGCTTCTTGCTTTTTCTTTGCAATTTCTTCTTGAGAACACCTCCTACTTTTATGTTCTGCAAAGAGAAGACAAACAGTTTGATATAGCCAGATGTATCCGGTACCTTATATTCTACCGATCAGGAGAGAGAGGAACCTTATTAATAATATGTTAGAATAACTCTTGCCCTCTAATTCTTGCAAAAATATCCACCAAGTAAAAGGGGAGGGGGTCACTTGTATCAAGGGCACTTTAAAATCTTGCCCTCTTCAAGAACCAACTTATAGTATCCTAGGAATTTGAATAAGAAAACAATTAATTAAAAGTACAACTATGAATTATAAGTACAACTTGCAATAGTCTCTTTTCTAAACATGGATTTTGGCAATCCTGTTAAAAAACTGATACCATCCTGAGACTGATAAAAAAAAGGCAGTACGAAACTAACTCTAGGCAGATCCAAAGATCAGAACAGGTGGCATTAATGTCAGGCAGAGAAATCACAAAAGAAAAATACAATATTAAGAAAGCAAAGGGGCTATAGGGAGGAACTGGCCCATGCAGCACAAATAAACTTGAACCCACATTGTTCTGATCCAGAATTCCCATATTCTGTTGTTAAGGATTTTATTTTAAAATGTAAAGCATTATTTATACCAAAGTGCCCTTCCCTTGTAAGAAATCACTGTATTCATGCCCCAGCGATGGGTGCCCCAGGGAGTCAAACTGATGGATTTAAGAACAGAAAGATGGATGAAAGGCATCCTTAATCTCATCTAACATGCCTTTTTTCAGATACAGTGCTTTATTTATGACAGAACAAACTTCCAGGTTTAACTAACACTGCAGTGCTAAAGTGCACTTTATAAAGATCCAGAGATCCCCAGAGAAGGATTCCATGGGTGAAGATGGCTTACTTATAAAATTACATTATTTTGAGAAGAATCCAGCAACACCTACCTTTTTCAGATGGTGCAAAATCAATGGAGAGGTGCCTCTTAAAAACTGGCTTGCCATTCATGACTTTGTGAAACGGAATATTTGGTGCATTCTTGCTTTCCCACAACCCCATGTTAGTTCCAGAAAGATTGCCTACATTCACATTTTTATAGTCCAAAACAAGGGCTTGAGAACTATTGGTCTTCTTGAACATATATTTTGATTTTTCAGACAAGGATAACTGATTGCAGTTAGACTGGATCTTGCCCGTATTGTGGTCATTCTGCCATTGCCTATTATTAATATTTAGCTGCATGCTGGAGGCAGTAGCTGTGCCAGTTCCAGATGCAAAACTGCCTTCAAACATTGCAGACCTATTTGCAGAATTCTCATTCTTCCTTGTTGCAACGGGCGGATCCAATGAAAACGTCTTCCTGCCCGCATGGTTCTTCTCAGCCTGCAGGCAAATGGAAAGCCCTTGATTGGGCCCTGGCTGACAAAGGCTCTGCTCCAAATTGGAAGTACTCCTTTCTGTTGATTTAGCTTTTCCAGTCTCTTTCATACCTATCTGGCTCAGTGTTTTTCTTTCCACATCATCACAAACTTGATAAAGCAAATCATCATCGTCACAGTGTGTCCCCCAAAAGGTATTAGATTCACAAAACAACTCTAGAACTTCATCTGAAAACTTGGGCTCACTCCAATCATCAAATGAAAATGTGCCTTTCTTTGCCATGGAGGTCTGTTTTGGATAACCAGAGCTTCCCTGGTTACCTGCTGTCTTTAGATCATGAGGCTTTTTATTGGTAGAAACAACTGATGCCTGATGGCTTGTGCCATGCATGTGGCTTTTGAATTTCCCAGTTGGTAGTTTAGTGAGATCAGAATATAATGAAATAGAAGCAGTTCTTTTTTCAGAAGAACTAGTATTAGTCGCACTTTTAAGCTGGGTAAGGCCATGCAGCATACTCTTATTTTCAGATTTCACTGCAGTAAAATTATAGTCCAGAGTGTTGTTTTGCCTGTTTTTAAAAGATGAGTCCACCTTGTTGGTTTTTAACAAACTATCTTCATGGAAAGGAATAACCTTGGCTTTTTCTGTCCAGATGTTTTGGTTTGGCACAGAAACACATGTTACTGGTACAGTATTGGAAGAAGTAAAAACTCCAGCCTGGGCAATAGAAGGCTTCTTGGAATGTACAGTTCTTTTTTTTGATTCTCCCTTTTCCTCAGAAATATGAGCATCTTCTGCACTGCTCATCAATTCAGGTTCCTGAGTAATTTGCATGAGAAGTGAATCATCAGGGAACAAATCTGCACCCCAGTCATAGTTGCCATCAACAATAGCCTTGTCAGGATTATTATTAGAAAGCTCTACACCTGAAATCGCTTGTACAGAAGTTGTTTTAGCTCTTTCAGCCAGAAGGGATTCTGAATGCTGTTTAAGAAGCATGGCACTTTGCCCCTGAGGTCCATCGCCAACCAAAGGGTGCTCTGCCTCCAACAAAGTATCCTGTACAGCAGAGATCAAGGAACAGTTTAACAGACCTTGGCTCAGCTGACCACTACACTTTTGGGTAGGGCAATCAAAAAGGTCATTAAGAGCTCCTTCAGCATCTAGATCTATGGATTTCTGACTGCTGCTCTTAGGATTCTTAGCTGTCCCGGTATTCTCCTTAAGTATTCCAAGGGACAAAGTAGTGTTAATTGTGGGATGTTCATTCAGCAATTGCCACTCATCTTCTGTCTGGACGTTGATATGATGGTCAGTTGACAGTTTTGCTGCCGATGAAACATGGACAGTATTTGGTTGCAGAATGTATCGTTCCTGGACTGCATCAATCAGATTTTTATCAAATTGTTTTGCTAACTTCATAAGTTCCTCTTCTCCGTGTTTTAATTGACGATCTCTACATGAAAAGCATCAGAAAAAAATATTACCAACATAAGGTATTTGGAAATGGCTTACCTATTTTATAATTATTGGAAGATGGGTCAATCATTTCACAATACGATTCAACTCCAGCAAAACTTTAACCTTTTAAAATAGTTCTTTTCTACAAAGAGCATGCAAAGCATTTTACATATAAATATCAGAATTATACAACAACATTTATGTTTAAATACAAAATATTTAACATAAAGCAAAGCATTTTTAAAAAGTAAGCAACCACAGTTTAAATGCTAACAATATAACTTAAAGCCTACAACATATTCTAAAAAGCTGTCTGAAACAGAAAGACTGTAATGCTGTTCTAAATTATGAAATTCAGCATTGCCCAGAATTAGGATTAGCCTGAGTCTTCAGATTCAGAAGCTGAAGAGCTTGACCAGCCTGCACCAAAGGAATTAGCAGAAGAGAGCACCCCGAGGGACACAGGGCCAATTGAGTCAGCTGATCCAGAGCCTGAGCTTGGCAAAATCCCAAGCCCAGCAGCACCTCACCAATTAAAAGAGCAATGGAAATCAGGTCATCTACTTGCAAGTAAGAAGTGTGACTCAGCAAATTAGTCAAGCGGATAACAAGGGAAACGGTGGCTTGAGTGGCTCTTTGTGGCAATCGGTGTTCCAGTCACCCCCTCATCAACTCTTTGCTGGGTTGGGTTTCTGGATTACCCAGCTGAACTCTGGACCTGGAACCAGAGCACTCTTAAATCATTTCTGAATTGGTGTTTTGTCTCTCTGGGTTGTCCGAAAAGTAAGCTTTCGTATTTAACTTTTAAGCAGAAAGTTTGCAGTTTGCAATGTCTTGATGTTACTACAGTTCAGGATTTATCACTGAAATAAACACTTTGAGTTTGTATCAGAAGCTGGTTGTGTGTAAATAATTGGTAGCACTGAACACACAGGTTTTATTTTATTTATTTGACTTTTATCCCACCTTTACTTTGGTCAGCTTGAGGCAATGTACATACCTAATGCTCCTGACTCCTATTTTCCCCACAAAAACTACCCTGTGAGTTAGGCTGCGAGAGAGTGACTGTACCAAGGTCACCCAGGTAGCTTTCATGCCTAGAGGAGGACTAGAACTCACAGTCTTCTGGTTTGTAGCTTAGCACCTTTGCCACTACATCAAACTGTTCTAGATACTATTTTGTATGTAGGAAAACTGGAGAAGTTTCGTGATGATTCTGAAAACCAAATAGCAGTTTCCCAACATACCTTGCAGTATTTATTTTTGTTCTAGATCGTACTTTTGTTATTCCAGGAGTACAAGGAATTGCATCCTCACCAATCCATAGCCTAAGAAGAGATCCTTCACAACAGGCAGGCTTTTCATCCTAAACAATAATAAACATTATCGATTTGATTAAATGGACATACTTATCCAATTTACCTCAGTGTTATGAATTCTAAAACTATTTTTTAACTTTCTAACAGAGTGAGAGTGCCCTCAGGATGGCGGATGACAAAATATGCATGATGACATTACCACACAAATGCTGTGATTTACATATTTGTATCAGGTGTTGGGATACATAATCATGGCATTTATACTGCACGTGTATAATTACTGTGGTGTTATTGTGTTCTTTTGTGGATACCACTATTTTCGAACATTTGTATCTGGATTTTCTGTCAAACGTAATCTCAGAGTAGGCTGAGCAATTAGCTATATTATTATTACATATACTTAGGTGTAATATTATTCAAATGCTGTAAGTTAGACAATGTAAAAAAAGATGGACAGCTAAGTAGACAGGACAGATCTCATATAAAGAACAAAAGCTCAGCTACTTTCTTGGATGAAAATTGTTCTGTGCATCTGGGATGGAAATATCTGCCACCAGGTCTGAAGCTCCTGGGAATTCTTAGGCTACTTTGGGTCCAACAGCGAGGGACTGGCACTGGGCCCCCTTGGGGACAAGGGTTTTACAGATCTTACTGGATAGGAAACAGGAGTCATTTCAAAGGACCACTTCATAATCTTCCTCCTCCAATGGCTCTCCCTTCAATCAGTTTAAAGGTCTGGAAGAAAGAGAGCTACGGGATAAGCCAGTGCCCAGGAAACCTGTGCCTCATGTCCAAGAAGATATCCCTCCCCATTGCAACTGACCACTCATATTGAGCAATCCATCCTGGGAATAAGAATGAAGATCCAGAGGAGTGCCAGCATTTTCACTGTTTCTGAAAGTCCCTCATACAGTCAGAATGTATTTTCATCTCTTGAACCTCTCCATGATAGTAGCCACTATGTGCTCGACCAGCTGGCCAGCTTTCCTGGGGTACAGAGTAACCCTTCAGGGCCCCAGGTGATTAAGAAGCACTGGGATCTGAGGGGGAAAGCTTACCAAGAACGTTTGCCATGCTGTATTATTGATAGATAATAAAACACCACATGGAAGGTGGCCCGTGGGTCACTGGGAAAAGAAAAAACAAATCTTCCATCCTTCTGCTTCATCTCCTCCAAGCCAGTGGTCCTTGGTCCTAAAGGCATGGGGGATGACTTCACTACCTCTGCAGAAGGGGCACAGTCAGTCTCTCTCCCTCTGAGATCAGTGGGGAACAGAGCTCCCCACCTGTATTTCTGGGGAGGTCCATGCACAATTGGCAGAGGCCATAAAATGGCAGACACAGCCAGCCAAAAAGTCTCCTCATGTGTCCAAAGAAGGACTTCTTGGGCCTTCAGAGGCGACAGTGTTTCCCACAATGAAGGATGGCTAGGTAAAAGGCAGGATCAGAGAACTGGGAAGTTGGCCTCTGCTGTCTTTGGGGATCACAGAACAAAAGAAAATGGTTCCACTGGCCACAACTGTCCTATGGCAGAAGCAATCCTCCAGCCACAGTATCAAAAAGCCCTCTTATATTTCCACATCCCATAATTCAGTTGAAAAGGGTAACTGGTATCCCCTGTTGCTGATCACAGAGTGTCGAAACACGCAGAGCTGGGCCACTGTTGAGGACCACAATAGCATGGAAACGTCTACTGCCACGCTGGAACAGCATCATCCAATGAACGCTCTTTTTTTTAATGTTAGCAGAGACTGGGAAAAGAGGAACATGTCAAGCACAGTTGTACTACTACCCTGGATTGGTATGGCCTATTTTCTGTATTCATACATGGGAAATTAAGTCCCAAGGTGTTCAAGTGGATGCCTTTTCTTAGAAGTCAAGTACCCTCATTCAGGACAATCAGGAGGTTAATTTGTCATCTGATAATCTAAATCAGTAGTTTGGGCATATCCTTGGGCTAATGAAGCAATTTATAATTGCTTGTTTGTGAGTCAAGAATGCAGTTTGAGACTTCCACTGCTGAGAAGCTTGTGTAAAACAAGAGAATCTGCTTGAATGACATTATTTGAGTCCATAAAAAGGACTAATCGGGTGAAATAGTTTAAGAACCTCTGATCTAGATAAATTCTTTCTCAAAATAGGCTGTTTATTTCTTTATTTTTTTACTGGAATTATAGGCTACTCCAATCATAAACAACCCTGTGTTAAAGGAAGTACAAAATGCCAAATTTATACTGTTACATCTTTGGAAGAATATTACCTGAGGAGCAATTCGATTAACAATTTCTGAGATCTCAACTGCATGTCCACCAATTGTCAGTTTCTTCTGATTGTTACCTAAAAGAAGAAGAAAGTGCTGAATTGGAGTAAGAACAAGAGCTTCTCAACCTTAAAAGCAGGCCAAGATCAGCAAATGTGTAAGCACAGTATTTCCCAATGTAAGAGTGCATTCAATCATAATAAGACCACCTAATTCTGGCTTATTAGTGTATAGGCTTGCTGACTGAATTGTCTCAAGGTACCTTCAGGACTACAATAAACAATCCACAAGAAACAAAAGGAACACTCTCCTTTTAGTTGTGCCAAGAACTACTCTGCAGATAACACAATAAGCTTAAAACAAACTCCAGACAGCTGTGCATTCTAATAATCTTGCTCAGGGAGTGGAAACCGTGGCTGTAAGTAGAGAGGCGTACCATGTAAACTGATATATCTACTACAGAATGGATACAGTCAAAATAAGTTATTAAAAACATTTATATCCCTTTTTTTAAGTCACAGGTCTTCCTGTTCCAGGGGAAGAGAGATGAGAAATTTGATTCCCATCTTTATTTCCAACCCCACAATTGCTACTCAGGAACCAAGTAATCAGAATACTGGGCACTCTGGGCTCAGGATGATACAAGTGTTTGCTACGTCTGTCTGCAATAAAACTGGCATCTTTCAGATTGGGCACATATTATTGAGATTTGGCTGGATGAAGTGGGGGGTTGCCTCCTCATGGAGATTTCTGTTATGCAGATGGCCAGATGTGAGGCCTTGTTTGTGGTGCAGGATCAAAGGGGCAAACTGAGGGTACTGCTACTACATAGTAGCATCCTTCACCAAGATGCTCAATCTCACTGTAGGGCTAGTTGTGGTTTGTCTAGAATGCTAATACTGGGTGAGTTCAACCTCCCAACATAGGATCAAAGATGGTTCAGGAATTCATGGCCACTCTGACACCATGGGCTTGCTCCAGATCATCACTGGCCCAATTCATGTTGCTAGCCACGCTTTAGATTTGGTATTCACCTTGGAGCAGATGTGCTGTGACCTGATTCTGGGGGACTTTTCCATCAGTCCATTATCATGGACAGATCATTTCCTTGTGACAATAGGGTTAACTTGAGCCACCAATCTGCAGAAAAGGGGAACCTCTTAATATGGTCTGCACTGAACATCTAATAGATCCAGCAGATCTCCTGATGGTGCTTGGGGATTTTCCCAGCAATTTTAAGGGTGTTTCTATTGGGCCAC